ATGCATACCATCATACAATACATACAATGCATACCATCATACAATCATACAATACGTACAACAATTCGCAGCCCTACCACCGCATTCTGTAAAAGACACGTTTATTGAACTTGGGACGAAATTAGGAATCCCTCATCTCCTCTCTTCTTTCGTTCGTTGTTGCTATTGCTACTTTGTCGCTCGACACTGGAGTCGAATTTCCAAGTTTCGCAGTCAGTTTGCCGAATCGAGGTTCGAGCATTTAAAGACGAGTAGTCTAACGCTACCCCCGACGACACAGTGGGGTTCCGTGGAACCGCTGAGTGGGATTACAAAGGACGCTAGATCACAAGAATCTTACCTCGTCCTTTCGGACGAGGCTGCAGTTCCCCGATTCGGCACACTGGCTGCAAAACTTGGAGACCCGACTCTAGTGCAACGAACAAAGTAACGATAGCAAAAACGAACGAAAGAAGAGAGGAGATGAGCGATTCCTAATTTCGTTCCAAGTTCAATTAACGTGTCTTTGTACAGAATGCGTTCACAATGAATTTACAAGATTAACTAAACTAAAACTAAGACGCACGCAACTTAAAACTAAGACGCGCGCAACTTAAAATTAAGACTCGCGCATCCCACGATGTCCGTGGTGCTGCGCTGGATCGATGTGCACACGACGGATGTTCACTTGGTAATGAATCTCCGTATCAATCAAGGTTGATCTAATATACCTGTCCTCTGTGATCCAGAATGGTTGATAACTTTTTTTTCAAACTTCTAAAATTTAATCTTTGTGTACACATCGAAAGTTGAATTGATAATGAGTCTCCCTACCGCTCGAGGTTAATCCAATGTTTCGGACGTTAGTGATCCGGAACAATTGATAATTTCTTTTTTGAAAAACAGTTTTTCTATTATACCAATCAATAATTTCATAGTTTTTATATTTCTATCGCAAAGTTACACTTTCGTGAATATGTTACTATGTTAAATGTAATAATTTATTAATTTTTTATCGGTTAAAATTAAATTTACATTTTCGTGATTATAACTACATTGATGTATATTAGAAATAGAAATTTATTTAAAGAAAAGTTATGTAGTCAAAAATTGAATTGAGCTTTAGAATAATCGCGTTACATATAAAAATTTTCGCTCGTTTATTGCAAACAATACTTGTAGAAGTATTTTATTGATAAGTTTAAACTTTATAAAATCGAGTTTACGGGATAAAGATAATTTATTCAGGCTGTGAATTTACAAATTTGTAAATTGAAATACCTAATTATATTGTTGTTAAAAATATCATATTTCAATCAATTTTTTCTAATACTTTTAAATAGATATTAATAGTCAAATATACACTAAATTCTTC